GTGTAACTCAAATACTAACTGTGTTGTTGAAAACATGACAGGCAATAATTTGGTCTATTATATTCTGCCATTTAATTGCCTAGTACAGACATTCTCTGACACGTTATGAAGCAATGATTTACAATTATTCAAGCTGCAAAGGTCAGAAAGTGACATTATAATCATCTACATAGAGATCCCTTCTAATGCACAAAAACTAGGTAATGCCACACACACACACACACACACACACACACTCACATACACACAAAGAGAGTTTCACTGCATTGGTAACTTTCTGCTGAAGGTCTCTTATACTGAGAACACAGGCACAAACTCAGTTAACAGACATCTAGACAGTGTCAGTGCTCTCTGCATGTACCCCACGGGGACAAGTTTCTAAGATGCCCTATTCTCTTCCAATTCTATCCAAGAATGTAACTCACTGAACCTGAGCACCGGGCCTGGACAGGGCCCCTCACTCAGGTGGATGTATGCCGCCCAACACGCAGGCCGGGGTATGTAATCTAAGTGCAAGACACATGGCCCAAAATCAGTCCAACTACATCCAACCAACTCCCCAAAGATAGCCAGTATTAATGAGCAGAGCTGATGAGTTTTGTCCCTCTCCTCCTAACAGTAAGATGACATAATCGTCACTATTTTAGGGACTTATCTCTTGCTATTATTATACCAGCCTGCTCATTTTGTTGAATGCTGCAAATCAGCCACGCGTGAAGAACAGCGGGGAAAAATAACCAGTTTATTGAAAACAATACTTATAAATGGGAAAAGTGACGTCGAGAGAGAGACAAGGAAAACAACTCTGAGCACCAGAACATCCACGGAAGAGACGGAGCACGCCGTTTTTCACACTTAAATCTGAGCAAAAGCAGAATGAAATAAAAGTAGCCGGTGGGGTGGAGAGGGGGAGAGGCAGTGAGGAAGAAGACAAGCTAGCTGTCACATACACAACATCTTATACACCTATCAACCACCCTGCAGGGAAACTCGGGCAGAATCAAGACTGGAACTAGGGGACGTGGGAAAGAAACTGCTAAATGTTAAGGGCACGAAAATGAGGGTGTAAGTAAAAGAAAGAAAGAGAAAGACCCTCCAGCACTAGTTGAATAACTCAGGCACATCACAAAAAATACTTTGAAAGTTTCCGTCTGTAAGGCTGGAATAATCCTCAACAATGTCATAAAAATAATCCCCTAGGAGAAACCTTCTCAAAGATATAAAGGTCAACAAATGTGACATATGGTGATTACAGCATGTACTAGTTCACAAAGCACTGCATACACAGAATTACTGTTGACAGTACCGCAGATGTGATTACATAGTATGTATACACACACGTATATATACACTGAAACTGATTTTTAAAAATTAATAAGCATGGGACGTGGGGTCTACAGTGACTTTTTAAAACTACTGAGATTTTCAAGTTCTTGACTGGTAAAAAACAAGATCGTGGAGTTAGTCGAAGTGTGAGTCCCACCTCTTTATAAACATGCTCCCGAGTGACCAAGTTGTTAACTAGCAGCTATGAAGTAAGCTTTCTGCAATTTCTTTTTCCTCCCTGTGAGCCTCACATCAGACCCATGTCAGGCTGTCTTGTTAACTAGCACTCATCGGCCTAGAGAGAAACACCTCGTGTCGACCAGCTCCATCTAGAGCAGCGGTTCTCAACCGGTGGGTCACAACCCTTTGGGGGGCCGAACAACCTTTTCACAGGGGTCGCCCGATTAATAACAGTAGCAAAATGACAGTGATAAAGTAGTAACAAAAATAAGTTTATGGTTGTGGGGTCACCACAACATGAGTAACTGTATTAAAGGGTCGCCGCATGAGGAAGGGTGAGAGCCACTGGGCTAGAGGTTAGAGGCAGGCTTAAGGAGGAACAGCCTTAGGAAACCTTCAGTTCAACTCTTGCTTCTCCTAAAAGTGAAAGTAAAACTAAAGCCTTTTAATTACCCACAACACATCCTGAAAACAGGAAGTAAAAAGCAAAGCCTGACCCTTTTTTTTTTTGGGGGGGGTGGTCTCTTGTTTGCTCATGAACACTGAGGCTCAGCCAGACTCCACACCTCAACTGTGTCTGTGCGCCAGGGGTCAGCCACTCCTGCGCTCCGTGGCTCAAGGCAAACCCAGCCTCAGCGCAGGCCGCCTGCTGCAAAGACTTGTCAGTGAAGGGAAAGGATCTCTGACATTGATCTTTAAGATGCAAAGGAAATCTGCTTAGGGCAGGCGGCTTGTGTCAAATTCTGTTCAGGAAGTTGCTAAAAGCAAACCCTACCACTCAGTCTTAGCAGAACAAATAATAAATAAACGAAACAAGGTTAAGTAGGTAGTTAACAAGCGCTAGAAAGATAATAAATGGAAAAAGAAGTCAGATCATCTAATAAAGCATGAACAATTAGCCTGGTTCCCCGAAAAGCACTGTGGCAATGTCTTCAAGCTCACTGTCTCTATCAGTGTCACCAAGAGAGTCGGTTTTCCACAGAAACAAGAGAAAGCAATGCAAGGGGTGACCCCTTCGCTGCACCCAGGTGCCTGCCCCGTCCTGTTCGTTTTCCGTCTGCTGTTGCTCAGTCAGGGTGATTTGAAAAATGACGGCAACTTCTCAGAGGCCGAGCCATTGGAGAAAAGCAAACAGGGCAGGGCCTGCTGTGTGTGACAAAATTATAGAGCTAATGTTGCTGAAAGATCACGTCACCTTTCAAAGCATGATTTTTTTAAAAGGTAAAATTTATAGCAATTAAACCTAATGAAGAAATGCAGCATGCGCTGCTTATGTTGAGGAACTAATAGGTCCACTGAGCATTTCTAAGATGATTTAGCCATCAGTGATAATGAATTGACATTGTCAGTGACGTTAACGGGCCAAGGCGCTCTAGGGCTACTCATCCCAGCCAATCCTCGTCATCTGTGTGTTTCCCACTTAAAGTTTAACTCACCTCCTGCCCTGCCCCTTCGAAATCCAATCGACAGACTAGCCTTCACAAGAGTTCACTTACATGAGGGCACCTAATTCAGGGCCAGCCTGTCGCAACTATACAGATATCAGCTGGCACTATTCAATTTACTGCAGGGCTTTGAAACTTATCTTTACGGTGGTTAAGAGCTACCCTGTTTAAAAGTACCCTGTTATATTACCTTAAAATCATATTTCATTTAAAAAGTAAAGAACACTATTATTTCATGGTCAGTAAAACTGAATGGCTACCAAAAATCTACGGGATACAATTTTGGAATTTAACACACACACACACTCATCTCCTCACAGAACACTATGACAGCAAGATAACACTCACGTATGCTTATTTGCAACTCACACGGTATCATGTAAATCAAAGTGTTAACTGTGTGTGTGCGTGTAGCCATTCCAGAAGACAAGCATGCATTGCTCACACCAATCAGTGCTGCTTTGTTTCTGACGCTCTCTAGTTCAGAAACTGTGCTCTGAACAGGTTTCCCGCTTCCATGGCAGACTTGTACTGACCCTAACAAAAGTGAGCACGTCCACTTGCGATGCCACAGAAATGGAGAAGAGGCGGCACTGCAGTCTCACAGCAGACACGCCCTGGCTCCCTCTTTCCTGTCACTCACGTGGTCAAAACAATAAATGCAGTCTCTCTGAAAATTCCAGGGCCCAGAGCAATTAAAATGAACCATTTGGCACTTGACCCTTGCAGCGAAAGTCAGAAGTAACCAAACTCATTCGGCCACTGATCTTCAGAAGGCAGAGGTTCATCTTCATTTACTTTCGCTGAGAGTCCAAGAACCATCAATCCGGCCAATGAATAAATCACGGGCCAGAGTGAATAAAAATGCTTACAAAGTTATTTGTGAAACTCTCTTAGGGTCAAGAAATGCACCTGCTGCCTGGAATGAAATGCACTGTCTAGCGGAAAAGCAGAAGCAGCCTTCAGCTTGGGAGGCAGGCACAAGAACCTCCCAGTAAGCGGATGGTAGGACAGCCCTGCAGCCTCCCCGGTCATACCGGAGATGCTTTGGGAAGGAGTCGGGAGGGTTGTCCGTTTCTCAGGTTTCACACCTCAAGTGTTTTTATATGATGCAGTTAAGAGTTCATTTCTCCAGCACAGTCACATTAAAATATACTCCTAATCAGAAGGAAGGTATTAAAAGGCAACTTGGAAAGTCCGGCAAAATACTATATATGGCATGGCATTTTAAAACCTCTTTAAACATTTCTGCTAAATTAATTAGTTCTGCATTAGGCGTCTCGGTGCGTCCTATTAACTGCAACCATACTTGAGTGAAAATGAGACGTTATGAATGAGTGTTCAGGGGAAGTGACCATTAACTAAAAAGGGTAAACCGCATCTTTTGAAGTAAAGTTCTACAAAAAAAAAAAAAAAAGTTCTACAAAAACATACTCTGCGCTGGGTGCTCAGCTTCAGCTCCCCAGTAACGAGCAACCAGCTATTTGAACTTGTGAGGTCTTTGCATCTGTCCTTCTACACTGTGTCCAATATGACGGAAATCAAAGCCAGGATTGAGCAGGAGGAGGGAGACAAAGCCTCCATACATGCTCTGAGAGCTGGGCGGCATTGTTTTTGATGTCTTTAATGGAATCTCTGGGCTCAAACACAGCAAGGATTGCCAGGACGGCGCAGGGCCAGGCAGTGTTTCCTTCTGCGGTGCACAGGGTCGCTACTCGTCGGACGGAACCCACTCGACGGCCCCTCACAACCACCAATGGAATTTACAGTTCTCTCTGGCAATGTGAATGAGCATCCTGTAATTTAGTCAATTTACAGATTACAGGTTCAAATTGACCTTGTAGCCCATGAAATTGCTCATCTCCAGTGGAGGATTAGAAGTAGGAGAAGAATGTCATCACTGTACTTAAAGAATTTACCATAACAATGGCAGAGAGGATATGCACACTTAATTTTTGCCACTTGCTGTGCTCAGTTTTGAGTTCTGAGACAATGGTGCCCAGCTCCCGTTTCCTGGTTCCCAGGGCAGGAGGGCACCGATTAACTCACCCACAGACATGGCACTTGTACTCCCTCATCCCAAGGTGGCGTTTGACATGGTTTCTGGCATCTCCAAGCTGAGCTGTTGCAAAATGGCATATCTTGCACTTGAATGGTTTCGATCCTAAGCAAGTACAATGGAAAATGTTATTTGAATCTGAATTATACATGTCTAATAGTTGTTAAGAATTTCTGTCCCCAAAAAGAGATGCTTGCATTCACTTATCATTTGAATGGACCACATCCAACCTACTGCCATCAACTTCATCCCAAATCACAGTGACCCTGCAGGACAGAGCAAAACTCCCTCGCAGTTTCCAAGGAGCCCTGGTCATCCTTACAGAAGGCGACTGCCTCATTCCCATGTCCTGGGGAGCAGCTGGTAGGCTTACACTGCCGAGCGCTTTAACCACTGTGCCACCGGGCTCCTTTGAGTGGACCGGTACAGCACAGCAGTGCAGCACAGCAGCTTCACCTGCAGGACTTTGATGGGTGGTGTGCCTCACTTTCACTAACGTTCTCAGGATTAAGACTCAAGAGTACTACAAATGAGAACTACTCTTAGTTCTTATACTATACTTAATAGGCAAGTTGTGAGAAAAAACTGGGAGTCTTTTTTCTTATTGTGCATAACATAGATCATAAAAGTCATTCAACATTTAAAATGGGGCATTTTGAAAACACAAATGCATACCAGGGTAGCTGGGATCCTAAAGTGTATTTATCATCCAATAAATTTCTTAGTTTGCTCCTATTTCTCTGACTTTGAATGTATTTACATTAGCAATGTAATTTCAGATTTTCCTGTCGTTTATCTCAAATGATTCATGACACTGCTATTTTAATAGTATGCAATGTATGGATGTACAGTAGATAAATTATTATATTTTTCTGATCGTTTTATGGACAAAAATGTGTGAAGATTCTGTGAACTAGGAGTATTGGCACTGCAGCTATTATTTCTTTCAAACGCAAATATTTAAGCATATAATACATACCATGAACAAAAATTTTCTAAATCATTCCAAAAGGAAGTCAAACTAAATTATATTGTCAGCAGTGGATTATAACTCAGCCATGGCTGCCGATAGACACTCGGCACCCACGTGACCAAGAAGCCCCCCTCATTCTAGGTGTCACACGAACGCACGCACCGCGCTCCAATTCCCAACACTGGCTCAAAGATGTTCATCAATATCAGAAAAACCAAAGCCCCAAATCAGTACAAGGTGCCCAGATTTCTCATATCGTACTTAGCGCATATTTGATGAACTGCCTCTTCCTGTATAGTTAAGACACCATATTAAATATACGTGAACTTCTATAGATATACAAAGAGAGAGCAGATTTTTTAAATTGGCAATAAGTCATATTTGATCAATGAACCATTGTGCAGTGCCCTTGGAAGAAAAGGGGGGGGGGAAATCCTCCAAGAATACTCTGTTGAAATTGAAGCGTTCAGTAAAAAATTTGAGAGTCTTAAATTTCAATTTAATTCCAAAAAGCTGACAAAAAAAAGTGAAGCATTTAATTTTCATCTTCTCACAGAAATAAAAAAGTCAACAGAACTAAGCACGGCAGACGAGGTTGACTATTTCACAGTTCAATGACAATGAAGCCAGAGCTCTTAACACTCCCATTTCTACTGCGAGAAGTAGATGTAAAATATATTTAGCACCTGAATGGTTATATCTCGTCAGCTTTATATGTTTAAATGTCAAAAGCAGGTTGAGACTGCAGAGTACAGCAATCACACTCTATCCATCACATTAGGAACTACAGTTTATTTAAATGATTCGGATAAAACCAAGCCTATCACTACTCTGGATACATTGCCTATCAATACACAAAGGAAGGGAATTTTTAAAAATGAAGAAGAAGAAGACTCAATCACTTGCCCTTTACATTAAGTTGCATTAAGGATAATAAAGTAATTAAGAAATTATTAATTGGCAATAACATTAGGAGTCCAAAGAAGAGAAAGAGCTCTCCCTATCTGCCCTTGCAATGTTGGTGAAATAATTCCAAATATCTAATGGATTTCATGTTTTCGCTTTTCTCCTTGGGCAATTGAACTCTAGCTCTTCTACCCAGGTTTCAGGAAAGACTGGGGAGAGGGCCTGTGGTGTCCCCCATTTACTGAACTGGCTCCTTTGTTTTGTTTTTTTAAAAAGAGCCTTCCATCGGGACTCAGCAGCCACTGCTGCAGTGTGAGCAGCTCAGAAGGTATTCTGTTGAACACTTTCATGGACAACCCTGGGAGGCCTGCACGGTCTCCATCTCTTATATTCAAGTCTCAACCTCTCCTGCTTGTGCCATAAAAATCCAGATCCTGGCAGACTAGGAATAACATTGATTTGTATGTATATTATAAAAAGAAAATCTATCCTTTTTTTTTTTACTGGTAATACTTCAATAGTTAAGCTTGCTAGCTGCACTCCACAGTAAGTGCAGGCATAGCATTAATAAGGCAACATCAGCTCACAAGGTAGCCCTCTCTAGGGCCGGCCTTGGTGACAATGAACGTCAGTTCTCTCTGGAGTACCAGGCCACCTGGACTGGCATGCTCCTCAGGAGGCACTTGTGTTTTCATTTGACCTGAATAGTTTTTCAAAAGGGAAAATCCAAGAAAGGATAACTTTCTGGCGCCTCATTACTTGATCAAACGGCTTCCAAACAATCTACACAGGCACTTCTCACTGACCAGCACAACTCTGATATGCAGCCCCGCCTGAACCTGGGAAAAAACAAATCCTCAGCCTTAAAGGGACTTAGCCAACGTAGATAGGGCCCGCTGGACCCCGACACCCAAGGACTCTACAGGCCTTCTAGAACTCGGAAACATCTAGCCATCTGCTCTGCGATCCTGTCGCAGGCAAGCCAACGAGAGAGGCCTCCAGGCCCACAGAAGGCAAAGAACCAGAGGTCCTGTCCCCACTGCCCGTCAGCACACCTGCGTGCGCCATCCTGAGCTCCCCCAGGCTAAGCAACCCTAACTGCCCAGGTGAGTAGGGTTACCCCAGCAGGTGCCAGCTCTCAATGGCAGTAAGGGATATCACGCACAGAGTGCATGGCTGTAGACATCTTCCTCACCACAAGCTGTCTGCCACAGCGGATGCGGGGACAGCTCACAGCAACAGCAGGAAGGGTTTGGGGTACGGCCTCAGAGCCCCAAGGCCTCTTCCTAAACCAGGGTTCCTTTGTTTCTCAGAGACCACGTGGCTCTCATCCTACTCAGCATGGAGAAGGAGCTTCTAATCCCACAGAGAGTAAATCACCAAGTATGAAAACAGGGTTTGGAAGACTAAGCCTTTTCCAGTTAAACATTAGTAAGAATGTCTGCAGCACCACTTCATGGGCCTAAGCAAAGTATCAGCAAAGCAATTCATCTGAAAGTGCTCAATTTTTTTTTTTAAATAACCAACTTGAAAACCTGAACAGCAACTCCCCGCCCACCCGCCTCCAAACAGGGCTGGCACAGTGGGAGGGGTAGCCGGGCCCTGCACCCTCCGGCACAGCGGACTTTTAAAAACCATGTCTGAGCACAATGACAACAGCTTGCTGATAAGACCAACAGATGTTAAAAAGTATGCTAACTTTGACTAAATGTTACAATCAATGATGTAACTTCTATAAGTAGGGTTACTTTGTCACATATTGATAGGTACCTCACTTTCACACCCACATTAACTTGATTTTAAATGCAATTAATACATATAGTCAAGGAAGACTAATGGACTGCGTCTGCACTTAACCTGGTGGACATTTTCAAATGGCACCAGTGACCAGTGCAAACCTATTTTGCATTGTAAACGACTAAATAAATCTTAATGGATTAAGAATGATCAGCTATCAACACACAAGGGAAATTAAGTGCTGAAATGCCTCCATTGATTATTTTAAATTATTAGCCTCACTCTGTTCTTGAATTTGTATGCTTTTAGTGAGCTTTAACACATTTACAAGACTTATTGACTATAATTACAAGAGAATTCAAGTAATGGACACATCAATTATAAGCAACATGTCTTGACCAGACAGTTGCATAAAGAATTCTAAAAGGAGCTCCATTAGCATCTTCCTCTTCGTTTTATCCTGTTTTATCTGCCTTAAGAGGGCATATTAAGAAAGTCCCCAACTTCTGTGCATGTGACAGAAACCGATTCCTCCAGCCCTGTCATTCCGTCTGGCAGATGGGGATGGGGATGGGGATGGGGATGGGGATGCGGCGAGCCAAGGAGCCGCCGGACTTGTTCAGATGCACTGCCTCTTTGGCACGAGGGCTCTGGGGCCCGAGGGCAATGTTCACAGTCAGTCTCCTAGTTGCGCCTCTTGTACAGGTGGCCCTGTGACTTTCTTCCTTAGAAAAACTTTGATCGCTCTTTGATCACACCAAACTATTCATAATGCTTGATGCTCTTTTGTCTTCTTCCTTGTAACCATGCACTAAGTTTCAAAAACGGCATGAACTTAAAGTATAGCTCCAATAATAAGCCATTATTTAAAAGTACAGTAAAATAAACCTTACAGTTTTAATGAAAATATGTTCATTGAAATGTGAATTTATTATTCAAATCCACTCATAAATTCACCCATGGAGACAGAACTTGTCTAAGCAGAGCGCTGTGATTTAGAAAAGCTGTCTATTTAAAATAAAGAATGTATGGCAGGTTTATAGAAACAGTGCAGGGGATTTTTACATAAATTTAGAATGGCTTATGCATTTTCTACATACACACACAAAGAAAAAAAATGTTGTGGGTATCTTGTTTTGTTTTTTTCTACTTAAAATTAAACATTCTAAGAAAATGCCACGTGTGACCGCTCATGAAAACAAAGTTGGGCACCACATCCATGAACCCCAACACCAGGCCCCAGAGACTCTGAAAATGTTGACAGACGTGGATCCTAGGTCATTTAGTACCTGGGAGTTACCCGTCGGGTCACCAAAATTTCTGACACTGAACTTTTAAAATCCCTACAATAATAAGCAATGGTGTCTTAATTTTAAAAAAAAAACAACCCACTGCCATCGAGTCTAATCCGATTCACGGTGGCCCTATTGGACAGGATAGCATGCCCACGGGTTTCTGAGACTTAATTCTTATCAGGAGTGGAAAGCCTCGCTCGTCCTTCTCTGGTGATGGTCTTTACATCCCTCAATGGTACCATGTAGGGCAGTAGCCGCCGCAGGGGTAGCAGTTCAGACACCCTACCGAGGGTCACTCAGGGTCAGAATAGGCTCAGTGGCAGTGGGATGTCCTCTTTAAACATCAAGTGCCATTTAGGAGACAGACTTTGAGAAACTCAATCATTGGGACTCAAGAGACCACTGAAGAAGGCATGAACCCACAAGTCACCAGGGCACACAGCCTTTAGACAGAACTCAGAGAAGTCTCTCAGAGCTCATCCACCATGAGGATGGCTAAGTGCAGTCAGTGACTTTCTACCGAGCACCACACAGCAGTTACCTGGGTGGGAGCTGCACGCTGATGGACAGACTTGGGTTTCATGCTCAGGAGCCCCAGCAGCTAGACAGTGCTGCTGTGGCTTTTACTTACCTGTGTGTGTGCGAATGTGAGCCAGGAAGGCCATCGAGTTGCTGCTGCGACACATCTTCCCACAGTACTTGCACACGTTGCCTTGGTTCTCCTCGCGCTCCCGGTTGATTTGCTCAGTGTCTTCAACTATGTACTTGTTCACCTCCCGCAGCAATTCCTCATGCTGGCCTTTAATGTGGAGAAATAAATTCTGCTCCGAATCAAAGGGCTCGGTACACTTGACACATTTGAAGGTGGCCCCGCCCTCGGGAAGCTCTTCCACACTGGCCTGCTCATTCCTCAGATGGCCAGCGCTGGCCAAGTGCTGGTGAAGGTTGCTCTCGGTGTAAAAGGACTTCCCACACAGCAGGCAGTGGAAGTGCTTCTCTTTCGTGGGGTGCTTCATGGCAATGTGTACGTTCAATCCACTCAAGCCATCCGCGAGGAAGCCACAGTCATCGCAACGAGTACGGGCAGATTCACCAAAGCAGCTGCCTTCGGCTTTTTTCTTCTTCGCCCCTGGAGCAGTGTCCTTGAATGGAAGCTCGCTAACTCGCACTCCAGTAGCCAACAGGCCTTCCTCAGGCTGGTCTATCAGGTCACCATCCTCGGGATTCCTGATCCTGACTATGGAGGAATCAAACTGGCCCAAACTGTACATGGCCTGCTCTTCGTCATCAATGCTGACGACCGTTTCATACACACCGTTATTCTCAACCACGCTACCAGGCGCAGGGCCATCTGCTTCCAAAATAATTTTAGTTTCAAGTGGTGGGTTCGTCAGAGTTTCTCTGTGCTCCAGAAGGGAGCCTTCCTGCGTTCTTTTCAAGCCCTCTGAAGGAGTAGGCACACCTCCACCTCTGCTTGCCTCACCGGTGTCCAGATTCAGCTGTTCTCTCATGATGTCCAACACGATAGGGACGGCGCGTTCTGCTGGGTGGTCTCCAGCCAACGTTTTGGGACCCAGAGTGGGATTCACAGCTGCATCTTCGCCATCACCTACACCCCCCACACTGCTCTTACCTTGGGGGTGGGGACCACTGAGGGCATTCAGCAGGGCAGGGTTTTCTTTCGCTATTTCACAATTCGTGACTGAGCTCTCCGAGTTTTCATATTCTGGTCTGCTTGGGGAGCCATAGGTAGAAGAAACATTTAAGGAAACTGTGTCCGTGGGTTTCGTAGCTTTATTCTTGACAAGGGGCTGCTTGTAAGTCTCACCAAAGGGATGGTCTTCATTCAAATTAGATTCTTCTTCAGTCGCAATCTCTACTGACTCAGGAGCACAGAGTACTTGAGACGTGTCTACATTAGGATTTGCACCTAACATAGAACAATCGGTGGCATTTCTAGACTTAAGACGATCTGGCGACTGGTCGAAGATTATCTGAAATTCTTCAGGACTTTGTTGACGCTCCTCTTCTGTGACCATGATGTTTTTGGACACGTCTGGAGAACTTGCTTCTACATGAGTAGAAGAGTTCAGGTAAGACTGCCTTTTAATTTTGTGCTTCTCTGTGGCGGCATGCCTGGTCATCTCTCGCCGAGTAACTGCGTAGTACTCACACGCCATGCAATAAAATTCAAACTCCTTTGTATGCTTCCGCTTGACATGCAGTTCCAGAGAAGCGGAAGAGTGAGCGCTAAACTCACAGTGGACACATTTATTGTCACTTGTTCCTGGAACATCTCTCTGGGCATGGGCATCCCCGTCTTGGAGAAGGGCCTCTGGCTCTAGAGACACTTGTTCCGTCTTATCATTAAGCTGTTCCGTTTTATCATTAACTTCCCCATGCATGGAATGAAAAACAGTTTCAACCTCAACTTCAGTGATGTTTCCAGCATCTGCTGCTGACTTTTCTGAAATGGGGGCCCTGGTCTCAGCAGACTCAACAGCACACTCATCTGGAAGGGTCATTGCTGTCTTGGTGGTCTTTCTGCAGCCTTCAAGATGACCCCCTTCTGGGCCAACAATGATGTCTGAGCTCTGTTTTCCACTGGCTTCTGCCTCGACTCGTGCTTTATGTTTCTTGGTGGCACAATGGCGTTCCATGTCGCCCTTGGTTACCGTGTAGTACTTACACACTTTACACAGATAGCTGTACTGGTGACTGTGTTTTCGTCTAATGTGAACAGTCAGGTTTGTAATACTAGAGGCCAAAAGACCACAATGGGAGCATGTCCTTGAGAGGTTCCCTTTAGGTCGCCCTCTCTTTGGGGCACCAGTCAAAGCCAACTCATTGTCTTTGCCAGACTGGGACAGTCCCTTCATGGTCAGGGTGCTCTTCTCAAGGGAGAACTGCTCCTGTAATTGCACGCCCTCTACATGACCTTCAGTCCTTCCATGTCCAGCAGTGCTAAACTCTTCCTTTTTATCATTTATGCCTATGCATACCCTTTCGATGCACTCTTCAAAGCTTAAACCAATATTGTTTCTCTTAGCATTTTCAAGATGCTTGCTTCTTTTAATGTGTTTCTCCATCCCTTCTTTGCTCATTGAATAAAGATTACAGGCTTTACAAAGAAAGTGGTAGTCTTGACCATGCCGAAGCTTTATATGTCTTGTAAGGACAGTGGAAGATCTTGTTTTATAAAAGCACTTCTTGCACTGAAACTGGGGCTTACTTGAGGTTGCCTGCCTTGCTTCATCTCCATTGTTCGCCCTAGACTTGGGTTCCTCCTGAGTGCCCTTGCCCGGCTCATTCCTAGAACCTGTTGCGCTTGCCAGTTCTAACGTCCTTACAGGCAATGTCTGTAACACCAAATCATGGTCAAGAGACGGAGAAGTCTTTGGCTGAACCAATGAACTAAGATGCTTCTCAGTTGTTTTCGTGTGTTCTTCCAAGTCTTTCTCAGATGAGAAAAACAGATGGCAAGGAGTACAACAGAAGCCCAGACTGTGCTTCTCTTTCATGTGGGCGTGAAGACTCGGCTCAGCCAAGGAAACAAATGGACAGCATTGGCAGGTGAAAGCAGAGACAGGTGGCTGATGCTGGTTAGTGTGCAGATGTTCATCAAACTCCCTCCTTGACGTGGTTGAAAAGTCACACGTCTGGCAGTACAACGGCATTCCTTGTGCATGGCACCTCCCCACATGGATTTCCCAATCGGTCCTGCTTGTAGCTATGTGACCACAGCCTGTACAAGTCCACAGTGTTTGGAGGTCCGGAGGAGGCTTCGCCATCAGAATGTCAAGCTGCTTGCAGTTCCTCTTGTCCTGCTTCAGTGCTTGGGTTTCTGAGGAAGTCACACACCCACCACTGGCGCTGCTGCTTGCTTCGACTTGCTTCATCATTGATTCAGTGTCACCTGTCTTCACCTTCATTCTAATGTGATTCATGTACAACCGCTGAGTTTCCTTTGTGCCTCTTTTACTCATTCCTAAAATATTAAACCTTTTCTTGGCTTGACCTTTTAAGGTGAACGTGCCAGTTCGCCGTCGAAAGCTATTCCCCAACATTAAAACGTTTCGCTCAGGCCTGGGTCTCATATTGGTACCTAGGCTAGTCTGGGGTGTGTTTCTGTGGGATTCCACTTGAACTAAGAGAGATTCTGGGGTCACTAAAGCTCCTGCTGTTTCACTCTGGTCGCCAGGACTCCGTGCTGGACGTAGAGAGGCAACATTTTCTTCACCAACGGCGTCTTTTTCTGCAGAAGTTCTAGACGGCGTCGTTTTCACAAGAAGCTCACTCCCACCACCACTTTGTCTAGAAGTGCATTCTCTGAAATCTTTACATCTGTTTCCAGTCTTTCCTAATCCTTTTGGATCACCATTCTTAACTACTGCTTTAGAAGCTCTTGGTTTTGCGTGGACATTCCTTGTTCCAAGGGCACACAGGTTTTTTGGAAAGGATTGCTTCGTTAACATCTGTACAAATCCGCCGCGTGCAGCAAGATTCTGTCGCCGGAGATGTGTTTTGCCAAGATAATGTGCCTTCAGAAGGCTTTCCTCGGCACAATGGAAGCCACAGAGGTCACAGGAGAAGACTTCCGGTGGCGCGCGTGCCTGTTTGACGTGCAGATGGGAAGCTGTGCTGCTCTCGGCTTTGTGGCCGCAGTGGTAGCAAATGTGCTTCTGGGGCGGCGGCAGGTGGCGCTCGATGTGCTGGGCCGAGTCTGAGGGGCCACAGGTGCTGCACTTGGGCACAGTGTGCACATTTCCCAGGATGGAGCTCACACTGATCTCCTGCAGAGGGGACTGGGCGACTCCTTCTGGGACAAGAGCAACCCCTTCCGGAGGCGACCTCTCTTGCCGCCCAGTGTTCCCAGCAGCATGCAGAGGAGCCAGGCTGGCGCCATGCGTAGGCACGGGGGCCGCCTGCTCTTGCAGCCTCAACCGCTTGGACTGCAGTGGGCCGTGCTCCTCCTCGAGGCCAGTGTTGCCCAGCTGGGGCAATTCTGAAAGGGCTCTTTTGCGCGCAGGCTTCTCATCTTCCCTCGGGGTCTCTCGGCGCACGTCCAGCAGCTCGGCGTCTGAGGCTGGGGCAGGGCTCGGAGCTGGGGTGTTGCAGGGTCCAGTTCTGTCCTGGGCCCCCCTGGGTCTCCTCTCGGGATCCATCCTCAGGGGCGCCTCACGGGGCGCGCATCATCTGCGAAGGGAAGAAAGGCACACCGAATGAGCGCTCTGCTCTCACTGGGATTAAGAGCCCTAATCCGGCAAGGCGCCCAGATGGCATTATCACGATGTCAGGGCGACAGAGGGACCCAAATCTGACAGGGAGCCCAATGGCTTACAATGATGTTCCTAAACATCATCCAACCAGCGGCAGACAGTCTCGTCACAGCTGTCTCGTCATTCCTGCTCCGGCTCCTCTACCAGTCGCCAATGGCTGCGTCTGCATCTAACAGTCAGTCCGGATGGTCCGAAACCACATGGGAACAGGAAAGGTCGGGAACACAGGGGAACAGATGGGAAAGGATTTGTAAACATAAAGTAATTGTATTTCATACAATGCTTTAGAAGCATTAATATTGACTTTTTATTTTTCATTATGCTATTTAATTCAATTAAAACATATCATTTTCCTATTGATTTAATACCAGGAATAGAGGTTTCAGCCAAATGCCATCTGATTTGATGTTAATAAAAAGACCCTATTAGGATCTAGGCCTCAAAGCTACGGACAACTATTGTCAGCTATCTTACCTATTTTTCTATTAGCAATAGTAAATCGAATGAAACCTATGGCTTTACTTCCTCTAAAAGCAGAAAACAACCAGAGTCTGGGGGAGTGGACCAAGGTGAATTGGCCTAACATAGTTCAAATAGACAGTTACCTACTTTGGTGAGTAGGGACTGGGGTTGTAAAGCTCCTAAAACAGCTATCTAAGATACAACTATTATTTACTCACCATCCAGAGGAAAGAAGACTACTGAGGACTCAACACATGACAATAATTAAGCCAATGGACTAATGGACCATGCAAACATCCATTTCCACAGTCCTGAGGCCAGAACTAGACGGTTCCACCCCGCTACCACCACCAACTGCTGTGCGAAGGATCACATTCGAAGGTCCTGGGATAAAGCAGGGGGGAAATGTGGAACAAAATCTAAATTCATAAGAGACCACGCTGACTGACTAGTCAAATAAGAAACTGGTGAAGCCCCCACCACTGTGGCCCGAAGTGATGTCACCTTCCAGGTCTGTCCTGAAGTCATTTCATGGTAGAATAATCAACCATGTAAGATCCAAAGGGCAGTATTTATACAAGGAGAGTGTACAGAGGGCTAGAAAAGAAGGCAAGATGGAAAGAGGAAATATAAAAGGAAGTGGTGTGATGATCATACAGTGCGGGGGATTATAACGGACCAGTTGAAAATGTGTATGAACCTTGAATATAAAACTGATGATCTGCTCTGTAAAACCTTCACCTAATTCACCATAGTTATAATAAAGTAAATAAAAAATAAAAGTATGGAACAAAATTGCACAAGATAGCACTGAAAGCAGAAGCAAAGAGAAAAAACGAGACTGGACTTCACATAAAAATGTCTAAGGCAAGAAGTGAAGGGACAAGCAACCCACAGGGACAAAGTTCTGGAAATCATACTTTGATAAGGGGCCTATATCTGGAATACACAAGTGACTATAATATCTAAATGTAAATATAGAAAGAACTTTTACTAAATAAAGTTTACAAAAATCTTTTTTAAAGATCTGAATAGATTTCTTCAAGGAAGATATACCCATGGCCAATAAGCAACTGGTCTATCATTTTTAGTCATGAGGAAAATGCAAAACAAAAACCCTCGAGTGAAATACTACTTCACACACTTTAAAATCAAAAAGTCCGTTAATATCACGTGTTGGCCAGAAGCCCTCCTATATTGCTGGTTCTGAAAATTATTAAATATAGAAATACGATGTGACCTAGCTTATGACTCTTAGGCATATACCAAGAGAACTGAAAGGCCCAATGTTTTCACCAATGTCGACAGCAGTATTTATTATTCACAACAGCCAAAAGGTGGAAGCAAACCAAATGCCCATCAGCAGGTGAAGGAATAACCAACATGTGGTGCCTCCATGCAATGAATATTATTCGGCCCACAAAGGAAGTGGAAAGAATTAACTTTGCATACAGGCTGCAATGTAGATAAATCTTGAAGACACTGCACTAAGTGAACTAAGCCAGATACAGAAAGGTAAGTTCTACATGACTCCACTTCCAAGAAATGCCTAGAATAGGCAGAAAGAAAGACTAGTGATCACCACAGAGCACAGGGGTTGAGGGGGTGGTGGTAGACCTAAGGCTTGAATGGCAAAGTTTCTATTTAAGGTGATGGAAAAAAAATGGAGGGAAGCAAATGGGTGGAGGCTGTACAGTATCATGGATCAACTGACCATATCTACTGAATCCTCTTGGGGATTCGGTGAACTTCTTAGGAGAAAACTTTGGTCATTTCTGGACAACAGATTTTTAAGTCCACAACCTGAATGAGTCTTTCGAAAGGAATATACTAGAGATAATGTAAGACGGATGTTTTTGAATCAGCAAGAAAAAGATAATCACTCTAAAGAGCTGTGCTTTTTCCATAGCGATGGCGAAAATAAGAAACAGAGTGATGTGCAAACACCATCAGGTATCCTGGGTCTCAGGGAGCCATGATGGGAAATCGGCACCAGGCAGAAGGAAAAGAGCACAAGCTTTGGGATTAGTCATTGCTTTGACTCCTGCCTCTGCTAATTACTGGTTGGGGAGCACTGAGCATCAGCATAAAATGAAGGAATAAAGCAATTAAAAATTAAATGAGGGGACAGTTCAAGTATTAGGTAGCACACTGTATCTGTTCCATTAATGCCACACCTTGCTCCACACTGACCTTCCTTACCTACAACTCTTATGCAGCTTAAGTAGTGACTGCCGTGTGGAAGTCGGATCGTAGCAGCAGTTTAGACTAACATGATTTGGATAAATGATTGTATTCTTCATCCTTCCTGATTTTCTTCTCAGAAATTATGATTTAGTACCACCTGAGAATTTCTGTAGTGTTCCACGGTGCAGAGAACAATCAGAGTACTTCTCATTCAGTGTCTCCAGAGGCTGACATCTAAAATCTTGAAATCAGCACCGACTGAATTGTTCCTCACAACCCATATCCATCAGCAAGTCAATTGGCTATGCCTTCAAAATATGTATCTAGATCCCACCGCTTCTCACCAACTCTCCCATCATCTCCCACCACCATGGCTCAAATAACACAGGCGCAGTTTTGAAGTGTGGGTGGCCACCTAAGGGTGGCTTCCGGGTCCCCTTCCCACCAATGTGTCCAGTGGAAGAGGAGCTAGGTGAGCTCTATCCCCAGGACACAGAAGGCCAGGCAGTTTCTGCTTGTACTGAATGCTTGGTTCTTGGAGCTCCAAGCCACGAAGCCACCAAGCCACCAAGCCACCTACTGTGAAAGAGGCCCAGAAACCGAAAGAGTCTAAGCGAAATTCAATGAGGCCCCAGCCTCTGAGCCACCTAGCTCAGACTCTAGACAAGAAAAGCTTCCAAACTAATCCCATCCCCATCCCAACACACACAGCCCTCCAGACTCCCCTGCTAAGGAGATGGCCATCCCCAGTGTATCCTACCCACAGCCCGATCCAGACTGTAGGAGGCCAACTGACAGTGGTGGTTTCAGCCGGTTTGATATACAGCAAAGGGGAGCCCCAACAAGCTGCAAAGTACAACTCTTGGCTCCACCTTTACCCTCAGAGTTTGTTTCCAACCCGACTGTCTGCTGTTCTTTAACCCCTGGTCCAAAACTCCTGCCCCTGTGGTATGAAATTGGGATAGGGGTAAGCAGTACCCAACAAGGAGAAGGGCAAAAGAGGATGGAAACAGGGAAAACCCTTGGGAGACCTGATAAGCTTTTGAATAAAAATTATGTTCTCTGTAAATCCTCACACATAATTTATGATAAAGAGTTAAAAAAGAAGAAATCCTCCAACTATGTCCCATTTCTCTTCAGCCGGTCTTCAAACTTGCCCCCATCCCCTCGCTGGGAGCTCTCTGACCTCCTCTCGCACTACCACCCTGCTCCCCACTTCTGTCCAATAGCCACTTCCTCCCCCCACCCCCAAAAAGGCACGTGGTTAGTCCCTTTCCTCCTGGGAGTACCCACCCAGGCCACCTGGCCACCCTACCTGTAACTGCAGCTTGACATACTCAATTCTCCGTATTTGCCTTGATCTATTTTGCTGTAGTACTGATTACATTACACATACAGAATTTTACTTACTGCATTTCTCTCATTCTCTCTCCCCATCCTAGAATGTCTAAGGGCATGGCTTATTTTCCATCCACATATCCCAAGAGCCCAGAATAGTTCCATCACATGTTAGGTACTGGAATTAATGAATGTCTTATTGTAATATAAGGAACGTCTAGCTTCTAAATATTGAAGGATGAAATGAAAGCATGCCTGAGTCACACGATGGAATGGGGAGTAGGGGCATGCCCCACAGTTAACTGCTGAGAAGCATGAAAGCTAATGGACTGGCTCACACAAGTCCATTGCACTATGCCTGGAAAACATCCCTGTTCAAGATGCAACACTGTGAAGCCATGAGAGCTGGGACCTGTTGAGTTGGATGGGGTGCAGCCCTAGATTGCCCTGTCACCCTCTACTACAAGAATATGTGTTTCCCTTGCCCAACACCTGGCCCACTCCCCGTGCCGTCTTCCTCGGCCAGTAAGGTCCAGCTCCATCCATACTGCAGCCACGGTGCCCGACAGCCACTGGCTGCTGTCTCAGCTTCAGGAAACACGGATACTAACTGCCTGCCTCAGGGAAGACCCATACACGTTCAGAATGAACCCCCAGGAGATGACACGTGCTTCTCACCAAAGTGTGCCCAGCCCTACAGGTAGAACAAGCGTGGACCGAAGTACACATGAACGTCACAGGTTCTGTACTAGACATGGGCATACTAGCGTTGAAAAAGACCTTGCAGATCACCTAGCCTAATAGCTGTTTTTAGATCGATAAAGCAAGATCTATAGCAGGGTTATACTTCCAAGTAGAACACCTGGTGGAAACAAGGGAGCAAGTGGTGGTTGGTAGGT